TGTTTGTAAATCACTAATGAATTAATTGAATGCTAGAATAAGCATATATATGCTCTGTGTGTGAGAGAGATAATGATATTATAATCTTGGATGCAGTGAACCCTACGAATAGTGGTCGCAATATTTGTACGCAGCTGAGACGAAATTATCAGGATGCTGTAAGAAGAATTGCGGCCAACCTTGTAACTTACCGGTGTAAAATGTATTCACATTCCTAGCATAGGATTTTTATATAACCAAGAATGGCCCTTGAAATTTCTTTTCGGTAGTCGTTCCTCACCAGCATATTCTTCAACAAATTAGTTCGAGTTATTGTAGACCTGGCACCGCTGTTCAGTGGAATATAGATTGGTTCCCTGTCAGGTTACAAAGATTGTGTCTGCATGGACCGCAGTATGCTTTGAAGATTACGTAGAGCAGGAGATCAGCGGCTTTTCGAAACGTTTGAAGTTATGATTCAAAAATTTTACAAAAGTCCAAAATCCACAAGTCTACAGTCTAAAGTGTACAACCGAGGAGCCACAACCAACGTCAAGGGTCACTTACCGACGGGAGAAAAAGAAACTCCATTGCTGCCGCCGGTGGCACTGGAAGATGTACCAGGAGCGGAGGGATGAGGCCCTGAAGTGGTCGGAGCTTGAGACCGCAAATGTGCAGCGTTAGCCGCCGGTGCTGCAGCTGAGGGTTTCCTCTCGTGTCGACTCGTACCTTCCGCGGACGAGCTGCTGCTTTCCGTCATTGGCACAGATTCGGCGGAATCGGTAGCGGCCATTCCTGAAAGATGGACGATGTAAAGTGGACATTAGCTCAAATCATGTCAGCAACATGTAAAAGAAAATTCTCATTTCGTACCTTACAATGGTCATATTCAAACCTACATGTTCCAAGCGAATTCTGAGCATTTCACAGGTAAAACCGTTCTCAGAGATTACCGGCTAAGAATTGTTACCCCCTCGAGAACTGTAAGGCATCATCTGGAAGCACTTTTTAAACTAATTGCTCAACTTTAATTATAATCGATTAATGATACTCGGTCTAACTGAAATAGGGTGATGTACATATATTTGGTAGTTGCTTAAGGATTCTTTTGTATCAGGGAGTAAGCAATCAGGTCGTGCTCGATTCCGCAACGCGGCACTGAAGTTATGTTCCGAGAAAGAGACGAATATCATCGCTTCACAGAACCGAAAAGCATCCATCTGATAAATCCGATTCGCCTAAAGAAACACGTAGCTCACCGTCCAGAAGATCGATGCGTGGAAAGGTATTCTGCAGGCAGATTACAGTCACTTAGAAGCATTTCCTTGGTCGAATCCTTTCTTCAGACACCACACGTCTAAACTCTGCAGCTCTTCGTTCAAACCTCAATTGACA